CAGCTTCCCGCCAAGCTGTCGTCGACGGAGCTCGTCAACGACGGGTGTTGCGTGGATAAACAAGGGCCAGCAGATGGTCGTCGCGAAGGTGTAAGTTGCCGAGGGAGAAAGATAAAGGGCGTCGCTCGAATGAACCGCAGGAGAGCAAGAGAGAGAGAGAGAGATCTAGACGAAGCCCGTGTGGTATGATATGACCTGCATAGTAAAGACTTGTACACTCGAATGAATCACAAACAAATTATAAAAATCATCGTCATCCTCCTTTTGCTGTTCCGCTTGTCGTCTTCTCCGTGAGCGTGTGTGGAAGCGAACATTTGGCAACAGGGAACATTCTTCCCGTTTTCATGACCTGTGTTGGCCTCATTTTTGTGTTTGTGCGTCCTCTCCTCTCAGCCTTACGCACCACCATATGACCACTGCTGCCGTAGTCCGTTTCAAAAGCTTCTGCCTCTCAGCGCAGCCCGTACGCAGCCCACCAGAAAAGCCAGCCTGGGACAAGTAAACACGTCTCTCATTAAAGGAACTATGCTGTCGCGCCTCCGTCTTCACATGGCCCCCTTTTCATCTCTCCCACTCTCGTCATCCCAGCATCCGTACGTTCACCCATCTCCTCCCCCCGCTACGCACAAGACGCGCGGTGCAAACACCGCTCAGCTGCCGAGGTACGCGCGGATGGCGCCCTGCAGCCGTCCGCCGACCTCGCCGGCCATGTTGCTGAGGTTCTCGAGGTCGTCGCCGGCCGTGATGCCAAACTTGCGGACAAAGTCCTTGGCCGCCGACTCGAGGTCGCCGTACTCCTCGGCGGGCTCGTCCTCGGGGCGACCAAAGTAGGCGTTGGACGAGATGGCCGACGCGCCCTCGAAACCCTGCAGGCGCGTCTTGGCCTCGGCCTGCTGGTTCGGGTCGAAGGAGCCCTTGCCGAAGAACTCGTCCGAGGAGATGCCCTTTTGGCCGCCAAACTTGCTGCGCGCGTACGTCTCGTCTTGGTCTGGTGGGAACGGGTTAACATGCAACGAAAGACAATGGGACGGCAAGACGTGTGACGGGAACCGAGGCGCAGAGAGAACGGAGACTCACCTTCTGCAGCAGCCTTGATGGGGCCCACAGAGCCAAAGCCCGTGGCTGCCTTCTTGGCGGGCGCCGCCTTGTTGCCGCCGCCGACCTGGCCGAAGCCGAGCCTCTGCATGCCCATGCCGAGGCGCTCCGTCTCGGACTTTTGCCGGGTGTGGCTCGAGGAGCCGTAGTCGCCCTTGGGCACGGCGGGCGAGGCGAGGCTGGGCTCGGGCTTGATGACCTTGGCCTTCTCAGCCTCCTCCTCGGCCTCGGGGTCGTAGCCCAGCTTCTCGATACGCTCGGCTTCCTCCTTGGCCTTCTTCTCAGCCTCGTCAAAGTCGATGAGGTCGGCCGTCACCTTCTTAGCACCAAGCTTGGGCACCTTCTTCGCGCCGAGGACGCTTGCCTTGCGGGGGCCGCTAGTCGTCGTCGTCGTCTTGCGCAGGGCCGCCGAGGAGGTGATGCGGCTGGCGGCCGGCTTGGCGGCAGCGGCGCTGCCGTCGGGCTTGGCGAGGGGCGAGGCGGAGCGCGAAATGTCCTTGGGCGCGGAGAGCCCGCCGGCCGACAGCGGAGACGAGGTGCGGCCGATGACGGGCGGCGTGCTCGTGCGCGAGATGGGCGGCGTCGGCTTCTTGATGGCGGGCTTGTCCCAGGAGGAGAAGAAGTCGTCTTCATCGGCACCCGAGGGCGTGGCGCTGCCGTTCTCCTCGACAGCGTCGGTGATGACCACCTCGTGGGGGTATCTGGTGAAAAAAAGCACGTGTCAGCGTGACCCCCTCCCAGAAAAAAAAAAGGTGAGTATCCCTGGAGAAGAGGGATGGTTCTGGGTGTCGCGTACTCCTTAGCATCCCTTGCCGCTCGCCTCTTGAGCTCCTCTTTGTACTTGACAGCGGCGCTCGACTGGTACTTGGTCTTGGAGTCTTTGCTGTTGAGCGCTGCGGTGCCGCCGTTCTGCTGGAAGAACTTGGTCGCAGACTCGTTGCCGCCGACCTTCATCATGCGTAGCTGCTCCCATTGCCACTCTAGAGGCGCGTTAGTCTAGGTTTCTCCTCGAAGGGCGAGTGTGGTGTTGGATGCGAGACGTACGGTCGAGGTTGGTCGAGCGGACAAAGGAAATGTGCACACCGAGGTTGCGGTGATTCGAGGAGCAGTCGAGGCAGAGGTAGATGCCGAAGGGTACAGAGGTCCAGGTAGGGTGCTTGGAGCCACAGTCGAAGCAGACCTATGTGAGGAAGCGTGTCAGTCAGATTAGTACCCACGCGACAAGTAGCATGCTATGTGAGGCCTTACCTTGTTGGCCTGCTTCGTCTTCAATTTCTCGAAGATCTTCTGCGACTCCTGCTTCGAAGCCAGGGCACTCATGATGGCGGTGAGGCTTTGGCCAGTATCAGATCGAGTTTGTCGGTGGTTCGAGGACTTTCTTGGGTCGCCGACAGCCGAACTATTCTGCTGTCACTCGTGCGTCGCGGAGAGATCAAGAGATGATATCGTGATCGCGTTCGTGTCCCAAGTTCAGGAGTTGCTCCTGTCCTGACGGCAAGGGGTGGGGGGGGGCAACTGAATGTCGAGAAGTGGCATGTAGGGGCCGCACTAACCGCATGCGACACTAGCGCCTTCTGCCTCTCCACATGGCGGGTTCTGCCAAAGGCGGTCACGACCTTTCCGTTCTCTGCCCGTGGAGCTTGTCGCAGCTCGTGAATTCGACGTCCATGTAGCTTCGCACCTCGGAGCTCAAACGCCTATTCATCAGTCTCGGTGCCGTTGAACAATGGCCGCCGCCCTCTCGCCAGGATGAAGATTCCCACCAGCGCGCTCGCGACCCGCACGCCGACCACCATCAGCCACGCCCCCCAATTGCGATCATTCCTCCTCCAACGATACTATGCGACGCAGACCGGCCTCGGCACCACCCCGCAGGAACCCAAGAGGAGACGAGTGACACCCTTCAACGACGACGGACATGTGCCGTGGTCGAAGCTCTCCGCTGCCGAGAAGGCGGGCAGGGCCACGCAGCAGAGCTTCAACTTTGGCATGATCATCGCGGGTCTAGTCTTGACGGTTCGTCTTTCTGTGCCCATCGATGGCCCTGAGCCAGCTGGGCCTTCCCTCGATGCTTGGTTGGGCGCGGGAACTGACACGGCGCCAGGGTGGTGTGGGCTATGTGCTATACACCGACGTCTTTTCTCCCAACAGCAAGACAGTCTACTTTAACCTTGCGACTGACAGGATCAAGAAGGATCCGAGGTGCCTCGAGCTTCTCGGCGATGCGAAGAAAATCATGGCACACGGTGAAGAAACCATGAACAAGTGGCGGCGCTCGCGTCCTCTGGCGTACGTCAATTTGGTGCATCACTGTGGTCGACCCCCAACTGATTGTTCCCAGGTCGTCAGAGCACAAGGATGCCAAGGGCAACGATCACTTCCAGATGAAGTTCTACGTACGTTGGGTCTGTTCTCGTATAGCTTTCGAAGGTCAAACTAACAGTGTCCAGGTCGAAGGGCCCCTGAACACCGGCCATGTGCATATCCATATGATCAGGCCAGCAGGTCAGAGCTCCTATGACTACAAGTACCTCTATCTAGATGTTCGGGGGCACCAGAGAATCTACCTGGAGAATGCCGATACCGATCCCAATAACCCCAACAAGTCAAAGGTCAAGTTTTTGGGCATCAACTGGGGCTGATTGTGCGAACGAGACCTGCATCTCGAGGTATTGAAGTCGTGTGACATGGACCACGTACGTAGGATGAGGACTTATGTAGGATGAGGGTGTATCAATATCAACACGATTGAGAATCAGAGACTGGGTTGGCACAAGTGTCTTGCCGGGCTCAGGGCCCCGTTCATGACACCCACTCATTCCAGTTTCTTTTCTCCTACAGTAACACGCAAAAGGTCGCAGTTCAGAAGAGAGACACGTCTTTGGAAGCCGACTTCTTGCCTCCAAAACTTGGCTCGAGCTCTTGCGGCTGAGCATGTACAGAATGTACTAGATGACTTGAACAGGAGACGCGTTACACACCCGCAGCTACTACAGCTAAGTTTGAACAGTCGCGGGCCAAGCGCGTGAACGTGGGGACACAGCCGGCTTGCTCCCACCATGATGCGATGTCCCCATGGGTTTTAACACCAATGATAAGTTTCGCCCATCTTGATTCACGAACAGTCGCTCAACTTAACGAGAACAGTCCTCTCTGCGGTCAGATTCGTAAGCTGATACTAAACCACAGTTTGTCTCCCAACAATCAACAATTCAGCAGACCCGTTGCTGAAGTGGTCAGACACTTACTTTCGGGGTTCCCAGTGCTACTGGACGCCTTCTTTACCCTAGGTCAGTACGCATGGCATACAGCGTGCGGCCATCAAGGGTATGTTCTGCCATGTTTTTCATGGCAAAAAGTAAAAGACAATTCACATGGTCACACAGAGCAGAAGCGATTCTGGCCAGGGAAACAACCTCCAGCAATGTTTTTTTGCCGTGCTGTCCGATGATCTTCACCATCTCCTTGCTCCAACCCTTCACCTCCGGGCTAGAACTGAGCCATGCGTGTCTGGCAATGGCCATAGGCAGCAACTCTGCTTCTCTGCCGGCCTGGAAGAAGATTGAGCTTTGAGTTGATCTACGGCTTTTTCGGGTACGGAACCTGTATTGCGTTGGCCTAATACCGTGAACCTTCCTTGAAACCTGTTCCGTAATGATTTTACGTGACAAGGTTGATTTTGCAGTTGACATGCAAATTACAATCAACCCATTTCATCTCACAGCACACAAATACACATACAAGCATCGTTTGCGGTCTCCCGGCAAGCCATGATATTTTGCCTTTCAGATTACTGCCGTGATCTCTGACAAATCCCCAGGAACATCCCGCGCAACCCCTCATCTGATGTTTCTCCTGACACCCCCCTTCAAGGGCGGGTAGCGCCCGCCGCGATCCGAACCGCGTGAGGGGTTCGCAGACGTCTTGAAGAGCCCAGATTGCCAGGTGAAGCACGGTGGCTTGCCTTTGGTGGCGATGCCTGTCAAAGAGCGGGGAGCCAAGCACCGCGAACGAGCTAGACGAGGTCAATGAAGATTGGAGGCGGCCCCTGGGGGCGTGAGAGATGCCTCTTCACCCCCAACTCTTGCACGATGTATCTTGCCAGGCTGGTACATTCAATTCGAAAAGCCACACAGGGGGCTCGGTGACCAGAGGTGCAGGACCGCCGGTGAAGGAGATGGCGGCGCAGGCGCGGGATGTCGGGCTAGGAATACGTGCTTGTCGCGGGCCGATTTCCCTGCAAGATTTGCCACCGCCGGGGCGAAACCTGGGGGTGCGCAAACCGGCGGACAAGGGGCCGGGGAGGGGAGGGGGGAAGATTGCTGCTCGGCTACCTGGCGAAGGGGACTGAAAGCGAGCCAGTGGCCGAATCCTGGGGATTTTCCTCCCCCAATCCAGATGACATGGATTGCGTGACCGCCTCGGTGACGCCCCCTGGCGCTTCTCACCAACTGCCCGGCGAAGGTGTCAATCGTGCGACGTGGGGTGGCCAATAGAGGCCGCACGCCGACGCGTGGCGACGAGGGCTGGTTGATGATGGCGGTTGACCAAGATGCTGCAACATCGTGGAGTTTCCCCTGCTCTTCCCGTTCCCAGATGCGACGGTGGTATTGCGGGGAAGGCGGCCGGCTGCACAAGAGGGTGTCGAGGCGCGGGCGAGACAAGACGGGGTATGCAGCCAGATACGCCTCGTGGAGGTTTACCTTCCTGTTGTGGGGGGGGGGGGGGCACAGGCAGAGAGGATAAGGGCAGGTCTTCTGCGAGGGCCTGGCCGGCTGGGTTCAAGACGAACCTTTCGCGGCTCACATCCGTACACCGAGTTGCAGGCGCCTCGCATCGTGGGCTTCGGCGGCTTGACGGCCGGCCATTCTTTTTGTGCGGGGTGGGACAAGGGGCGCGGCCGCATCGCAGGCGGAATACCCCATGGTGATGCCCAGTTCACGGGCCCGTCAGAGCCAGGGGGCCTGCCTCAATGCAGGTCCAAGGCTTTGAGGCAAAGCCTAAGCCCGCCTTCCAGGTTCTCCCGGTGAAGGCTTTACCAACACGCCCCCCCCCTGCCATGTCCACGGCCCTCGGTGAGGTTAGTTCATAATGGAGGTGTGTGTGAGAGAGAGCATCGCGATCCGACCAGGGGTGGATTTGGGTTTTGGAGCTGCAACGAAGTGAGGTACAAGGTGCCCCAAATGCTTTGGCGTGGGGGAGGAGTTGTCTCCGAGTGCCGCCGCCTACAGGCCGCAGCGACCGAAGGATTGCGTCTTTCTCGGTGGCTTTATTCGAAGCGGAGGTCATAGGTAGACGGAATCGCCATGGCCGAAGAGGGATAAGCCTTGGCAGGGCGAAAAGTTTGCAGAAGATATGATAACGGATGGACGCACACGTCAAACGTAACCGTAACAAGTCTTGATGCTGCCATGGTTGTGTTGGAGGCCAAGCTCAGCTCTGACGTCTGATGTGCGTGAGATATGGCTTGGTACCGAACGATCACACCGGCTGTTAGGTGATATCTCTCAATTGAGACTGGCCATACTGACGCTCTTTGGGATTCTTGATGACGACTCGGAAGGACAGATTGCACAATGAGAGTGAGGTCTGCGGTGCGCCCAAAACGGACCAGTACAGTAACAGGGGTTGTAGGTCGTGAAGCGTCAGCTATTCCCACCTTGGGCAAAAGACTGACAGTTATTGTTCGCGTGCCAATACCTTTACCTAAGGTAAATAACTCCCCCGCCTACCTTCTTTTTCAAGGCGCCTTGTCTAACATACCTTACGTACTCACGTACTCAAAGAACAAAATGCGTCACATGTGTTGAACCGCGATGTCCCCATTGTGCAGCTGGGTTCATCCACCCAACTCAGCGTCGGTAATCACATGTAAGATACCAATGCTTGCGGTTGAATCTCAAGGTCAGGGATTTTTCTTTCAGGCCACAGCTGCCTCTTATGGTTCCTGTTGTATTCGACTTGCCTCGCATTCACCTAATACTCTGTACTGGATGCATTCGGTCAGTCACTTCGTGCTTGGGGCCATTACCTAGATGGACTGGGCATTCTGTTGTACGAAACTGTCAAATGTGCTCAGAGCTGGTCGGCTTCGCGTAGAATCCCAGCATTCTTCTTTCGTGTGAAAAAGACTCCAAGCCGCTTGCTTGCCACCATGACCTCGTGACTGGCGTCACCGGCTAGCGATATCGTCCAGGGTTCGAAATGAGCAGATGCCACTGCCTGATTCAATGCGCCTCAACGTTTTCCTTCGGCTGGACATTTCCCATATTCCTGACGAAATGCTGCGAGATAACGATTAGCCAGACTCGTCCGTTCGG